GTAAAACTCAATTTCATGGCTGGCCACATCAGCATTATGGTTCCTGACTTTGGCTCTGCTCCTGACCTTGGCTTTTCCTTCTGATTCTGTACCGTGCTGCCCGACTGTTGATGACCCTGGCTATTCCATGATATTGCTCCTGTCTCTTGTCCGCACTACCTGCCTTGCTCTGGTGCACGCCTGGCAATCTGCTAAACCTGCTCTGCCTACTACTACTGTGCCAAAATCAGAGGATCATCAGCCTTCCAAGGTTTTCATCTGCAAGTGTTGCAAACAACTACTGGCACTCTTGTTCCCCTGGGTCCTAGAATCACTCTGTTCCTACTCCATCGGGGTCAGGACTAGTGACACAAGTGAGGCCGACTTCGTCATTTCAGTCTCCCATCAGGTACGTGACAGCATGATTTTCAAGTAAATAAGGATTTAAGATCTAACTATGCTGCAGTTCCTTTTCAGATTTAAAAAAATATGGATTGCGTCAAATGCTAATATTTCAAATATTATAAGATATTGTATATTATAATAGTGTCACCCAGTGTCCTTGGTTGTTGGAGTATATAAGAGACATTAAACTAGCTCTAAAAGACAAAACACTTGAGAAAGACTTGGCTCTCAATAAACGTGTAGTGTAGTTGCAACAAATAATCGTCAGGTCCATAAATTGAACAGTACGACAATAGAACATTACAAAAGAAATGGCATGACGGGTGGTCAAGATTTGTTTTTATTAGGTTATTAGACATTTCACATTGACACTGCAAATGGCCAAATTCTTCACTAGCTCTTCCATTATGTGCATACAATATGACCACCCTCCCTTCTGACTTGATACGGTCTATTATAATTGTTAATCTATATGTTGATTTTCAATATAGGTCCCAACCAATCATACACAGGATGATTGGTCCTTTCCTGCTTAATGATAGACATTAATGCCTAATAAATAGCAATGTTCAAAGAGACACAGGCTTATTTACTGAAGACAAATACACTGTTTACTTTACAATTGCACTCTGTAACAGATGTATCCTCATAGCCAATCATGTGAAAGCAAAAATGCTATTTTTTTTTAATCTTGTACATGATTGGGTATTCTTTTCAATATGAAGATTTATAACATTCACTAAGCTATGTGAAAAAGTACCTTGCAAAATGCAACTTTTCTTGCAAGGTGAACTGTGTATTTAACTTTAGTAATTCAACCCCACTGTCTCTGTAGTATCTCCTACTGTATATAGGTAAGGTGACATTGTGCTTCCAAGCCCCCGTTCCCACTGCTCCAGTTATATTCAGCCATTCTGCACCATTTCACACTATTCTTGCCCCTGCTGTTGCCAGGCAGAAAACTCAGAGCACTATTATTGTAAGTATAACTAAGGGGAAATGGGAGCAGCCTGTAGAAACGCATCGTCACTTTGCTCTGAATGGGCAAAACAGACACATGAAAAAACTACAATATACAGTATTTTTTGAATGAAACTGCAGCTCTTTAAGCATTAAAAGAGAAGTGTGGACTTTTGTTTCCCCATTTATACTTACCTAGGTGGATGCAGCATCAGCGCTTTGGCTGTACTTCTCCTTTAACATATAAAATCTACACTCTTAAACTTGTAAAAGGTTTGTTGATGCTTTAAAAAAAGTATATCCAACCAAGACAGGCTCCTGAGAAGAGCTCTGTCAACTTCATGCGTATGGCATGTTATTTTTTGGAACAAATACAACACCAAGCTATTACTACAGTAGATCATCTCCCCATTCTGACTGTTGAAACATAAAAAGTCTCTCTCTCTAGCATGGTGGAAAATCGAGCTAATCAATCACAGGAGCAATATATTTGACATCAAGAAAGTAAATCTGACCTGCTAAATTCCAAAACCTAAACAGTCTGTAGACTTTTGGTGGTACGGGCATGTGACATTCCTAAAATTAATATCTTCAGCACCGCATGGTGAAGGTCACACCAGGTTATCAACATGAACTGCTCCTGACCAACACCAAAACACATTGACAAACTTGATTAAATGTATAAAAAGTATACAATAAATTGCTTATAATATATTATAGTCATAAACAATGACTATCTTGTATCTTCTTCAATCTCTGGTCTTCTATTGTTTGGACAGCTTTATTCCAAGCACCTGTCTCTTTGGACCAGACACCCTCTTTTAAAAAACAACAGCACTATGTCCATTTTAAATATAAATTCTGTTGAGTACTCTGAGAGTCAAAAAAACAACAAAAAAAAAAATTCCCAACTCACTTACCAGCCAGCCAGCAACAAACCAAATTAACTCTAACAGTTCACGTTAAAACAAGGGGTTTAGTTTGCACACATTTGCAAATACATGCTGTAGCAAACTTGCTTATCAGAGTTGGACGTGGAGTTCCCCTTTTTTTTAGAAGTATTCCTCAATCCTTTATTCTCCTTCCCCCTCCCTTCCTGAGAGGCACAGTGACAGATGGTGTGTGCTGGTTATGGGTCAACAGCATGGCAAGGCATCCCTAGTTCGGTGCCGAGCAGTCTGCGAAAGTGTAGCCTTCCTCACCTAAGTCATGATAAGGCCAGTGTTCCTCAGAGAATTGGGAAGCACTGACCCAAGAATCTGTGTAGGCTCACACATCATAAAACAGATAAGGCAGCTTCTCCCAGGAATTGAAAGAGATTGTAACCTCATAAAACCTAACAGCTTAAGGTGACAGAATGAAATGAACATTCCTCAAGGCAGTTTGTCCCCTGCGTTTCATATCATGGATTATGAAGATATTGGTTTTAATTCAGAGTCCGCCCGAGATCCCTCTCCCTCCCTAAACAGAGTATTGGCCAGTTACTCAAAGGCACCCCCCTGCTGGGGGACTTTAAAAAAGCCCAGGCTGTAGGCCTGAGGTTAACCAAAAGACATCTCCTAAATTTAACATCATAACAGCAGGAGATCAAAGACCCTTTTCGCTCTGCAACTTGGATCTGCTTACCTTAAGGCTGAACATGGCAAGTAACTTAACCTTTTACCTTCTCCCTGTTATCTCTTTGCTGTGCTGGCTGTTTTTTATGTATATATAAATATATACCTTAGTTACATTTTCTTTGTAACTGTTTCTAAGTGCTTACTTGCAATTCACGAATTCCAGCCTTTTGAAGAGACGCTACTGTGTTTGTTTAATCCTCTGCCCAATCGGCCTGCGGTGACCGTATTGGACAGGAGACTTTTCAACCATTACAGTGTACATTGGATAAAGAGAGTTTCCCCCTGTACAAAAAGGGGTGGTGGCAGTGAAAGGGTTAGTTGTGTGATTAACCCGACCCAGTAACAAGCGCATTCAGGCTGCCGGTGTGTCAATTGTGTTCCATTAGCTGGACAATCGTTGTGCAGGGCGCAGCTGAGTGTGGCATTGTTACACGCGTCACACCGCAGTTTTAGAACGGCCAGTCCTTCTGTCATGAGTTGGGTGAGAAGGTCTGGGGTCTGACGCCGCGGGCGTGACGTATTGTTGGTCGTGGTCGTGCGATTGTTGCATGTTGAGGTTGGCGATCGGGCGACCGTGACACATGCGTAAGCTGCAGAGGCCACATCACGACACCCCAGTGTACTGCAGTCCTAACTCTATACATTTTGAGAGTCTCCAAAGTTGGAGCACATATACAATAATAGATAGATTGAGGGCAATTATGCCAGGAGGGATAATTCCAAACAGCCAATAACAAATATTTCATTTTTCATAGGTTTATTAAATGACACTGTTAGTTATGCTATACGTTCAACCATCCACACCAATCCCTGCAACAGAAAGTTTTATTCTATATTTGGAAATTTGTGATCAGAAACCAATCAACTCGGCAGTATGTTTTGGACTGTGAGAGAACTCCAGGGCACTTGGTTGAATTTTGTGCGTATGTAAGAAGAACATGCGAAATGTTTCCCTGGTAGGAACTGACCATAGGATGACTGAGCTGCAAAGGAACCTTGCATCATAACTAAAGGATCTTTCTACTCTTATGCACTCCTGTACCTGATCCAGCTGATGAGGCTGCAGAGCTGCTTAAGAAAATCTTGTGAGCTTGTGCACATACACTCCATCCAATCCTATAGAGAGCTGAGGTTACACGTCAGGCTACCTTTGAGATTAAGTAATACTGAGATGCCTGATCTGATGGCAGATGAAAAAAACGAATTCAATACTTTAAATGTAACCATCTTCTCTACTAAATTAATGTGGTATTACACCCAAAGCAAAAATGTAATATTGCTGCTTACCAATCAGTAGATGTGGTGGCTGCATTTTTATGATTTTATTAGGCTTTTTTAACCTCTGTTTTCACCTGGTCATCTAGCTGGTAACACAACTTCTGTATTAGGGTGCCTCCACTCTGGATGAAGGAGCAGAGGGTCACCTTTGGACAGCAGCATTGTTAATTTGGGGGGAGGGAATGTTAGATGTAGTAATGGATTTAGATACACTAACAAATTGAAACAAAACTCTAGCTAATACTTTACAAGCAGTTACAGCAACCGTTTCTTTCCTTTCGGGATAAGGTTTTTACTTAAATAAATAATGATCATTGTAAGCACCCCTGCCAGTGTTAAATGGTTTGTCTCATCCCTGTAACTGATACATTTGCAGCACAACTTGTTCTTTTGAAAAACAACAGGATTACTGGCAGAATCACCAGAGAAAAATAAAGGAAAGAAAGTCTAAAAAAGAAAACTAATGCAGCCATCACATATACTAATTGGTCAGCTGCAATATTATAAATGTTTGCTTTAGGTTTAATATTTGTTTAAGTATTGCATAACTTCTTTAAGTTCCCCCCTTTGCACATAAAGTCAACTTAGGATAGTACTTCATTCCAAAGTCTTATTTTCTTCTCATATCAAGTATATCTTCTTAAGGTGCCTACAGACATTAACCACCTCCCGCCGGCCATATAGTAATATGACAGACGCAAGGTGGGTTCTCTCGTTCTCACCGCTCAGGGAGCGCGCAGCACGGCGATTGGCGGTGCGCTGTGTCCCTCGGACACAGCGGATCACCGATCACGGAAAGAGCCAAAGATGTTGGCTCAGTCATGTGATCAGCTGTGTCCAATCACAGCTGATCACATGTAAACAGGGAAATGCCGGTTATCGGAATCTCTCTCTCCTCTCAAGCTGTCACGCTGACAGCTCGTGAGAGGAGAGGAGAGCCGGTAATCGGCTTTCCGCAGAGGGGCCATGTACACTGATCGTCAGTGTGCCCTGATGATCTGTGTAGCCCCAGCAGTGCCACATGTCAGTGTCCATCAGTGCCTTGTGTCAGTGCTCATCCATGCCACCTGCCAGTGCCCATCAGTGCCACATATCAGTGCCTACCAGTGCACATCAATACCACATATCAGTGCCCACCTGAGCTGCCTTTCAGTGTCACCCATCAGTGCCAGTCAGTGCCACCTATCAATGCCAATCAGTTCCACCTATCAGTGCTGCCAATCAGTGCGCAATAGAGCCGCCTACCAGTGCGCGCATCAGTGCCGCCTATCAGTGCGCATCAGCGCCGCATATTGGTGCCTGTCAGTGCCGCCTAACAGTGCTAGTCAGTGCCGCCTACCAGTGCCAGTCAGTGCCGCATATCAGTGCCAGTCAGTGCCGCCTATCAGTGCCAGTTAGTGCCGCATGCCTGTGGCTCCTATCAGTGCCATATATCAGTGCCATGTATCAGTGCTGCCTTTCAGTGCCCATCAGTGATGCCTGTCAATGCCCATCAGTGCCACCTACCAGTGCCTCCTCATCAGTGCCACCTATCAGTATCCATCAGTGCAGCCTATTAGTGCCCATCACTGCAGCCTCCTTAGCGCACATCAGTGAAGGAGAAAAATTACTTATTTACAAAATTTTATAACAAAAACTAAGAAAAAACTTTTTTTTCAACATTTTCAGTGGTTTTTGGTTTGTTTAAGAAAAAATAAAAAACCCAGAGTTGATTAAATACCACCAAAAGAAAGCTCTATCTGTCACAAAAAAATGCTAAACATTTCATATGGGTACAGTGTTGCATGACCTTGCAATTGTCATTCAAAGTGTGACAGCGCTAAAAGCTGGAAATTGGCATGGGCAGGAAGGGGGTATAAGTGCACTGTAGGCCTGTGGTTAAAACAATGTTAGCTGTGTCCAGCCACTTACAGCTCACTTGAATAACTTATGTTTGTTTATAGGAATCTTTTCTAAAATTAGGATGGATTTTCCTTACTTACTAATCACTTATTTTGCTTAGCGACAAGGAGTGCCTTTCTTCATTGATACAAACACGTAAATTTACCCAGTGCAAACTTAGTGGAAACAAATTAATTAACTATTTGGTCCAAAAATATTCCTTTCATGTATGATTTACAATAATCTTTTTAGACATTCATTTATTATAATTACTATTATACATTTTTTGCCAGTGGGATGCAGCATAATAATCCTTTGAAAACCAAAGCCATACCATGTATTTAAATTGCCTCCAAGAAATAAAGAGCTGTTATTCTTTGACAGATGTAGAAAATATATATTGGGTTTTAATGTGAAGTTATAATTAGCCAACAAATTACGTATTACGGTGCAGGCAATTAGATTCGTGAGGGGTTAATAATAATTGTGAATGCAAAGCACACATTACATTAACAGGATCTCATCAAGAATGGCAATTCTGAAAATATTGTACAGGCTAATTGAACTGTGAGGATAGTTTGCCTCATTATCTGTACAACAAATCCTACACTGTGGTATGTGAGTAGCTTATATTATCTGGTTTCTTGGGCAGAACAATTACTGTGAGTCAAGATTTAATGTTTTGTCAACATATTTTTTTTTTTAAAAATGTCACAACGAGCCTGTTTTGTTAGGGAATGGAACAGTTAGGATGAATATTTAACAAACATCACTTTGCTTTGAACTGAAAAGTTAAAGCATAAAATTAAAAAAAAATAACACGCACAGCAGAGATCTCAGACCTTTGCCAGACCTTTGTTAAAGAACCACATTAAACCGCTTCCCAGCCGCCCTATAGCAGAAATCATGTATATATATATGTGATTTGTGCTCCCGCTGTGTTCACGGGCCAGGGGGGGCATGCACACCCCCCTGCGGGTGCCGTGATTTGATCCCCAAGGGATCAGTCATTCAACTTAGGCCAGTGATGTTTGGCCCAAATTGGATGTTCAATCCCTGCCCTATCAGGGATATTCCTGTACCTGTGTTTACAGTTACACAGGTACAGGAAATGATGACATCTTCTCTCTCTGGGCACATTCCGTCCCAGAGAAAGAAAAAAGAAGACACAGTGAGTAAAACAGCACATTTGCGCACAGAACACTTTTAGGTCACATTTAACCCCTTGATCGCCCCCCCCCAAGTTAACCCTTTCACTGCCTGGTCACCAGTGTTATTATTTACACTGTACAGATTTTTTTGCTGATCACTATTAGTGTTGCCGGAGACTTCAGATAGTGTTAGCATCAGTTAGTGCCCCTCCCAGATAGCATCAGATTGCTCGTCATTACACCAATAATCACATTTAACCCCTTGATTGCCAGGAACACGCTCACATACACAATAAACCTCTATTGCAAGTATAGTGTCTGAATGGATCAATATCTTTGATCAAATCAGCACTATACCAGCGTTCACATTAGTATAGTGTCCCCAAACACTAAAAATCATATAATGTGATTTCCTGAATTTTTTTTTTAATTCTGTCTCTCAGAGTGGGAATGCACTTACAATGTGAATTTCAGACCCCTCCATGATTTCTAAGTGGGAGAACTTGCAAAATCGCAGGGTGTTCAAATACTTCTGTTCCTCACTGTAATGCTTTTGTGCTTTACAAAGCAACTGGACGAAGCAGATCCTTCCTAAAAATTCCAGGAAGAGATCACCACGGCCCTTTTGTATCAAGGAAGTGCTGTAGCCCAAACCCCCAACCCAGATGCAGTTAGCTGGTTGCATGAGAGGCATTTTCCTGATGCCGTTCCTGGTACTCCAACCCAAAGGGCACCCCATAAAAGATGTGTGTGTAGCAGACATGGAATTAGGTATGACACCCACTTTTTTTTGTCCCTCCTGTCCTGGCCAACCTGGTCTCTGCCTCAAGGACTGCTTCTGTCACTACCACACACTAGTGGAGTGTTAGTATAGAGTACAGCACGGCACAGTTAAGGGCAGATATTTGCACAGTGTGTCGAAAGATGTTAGGTAGTCAGGAAACTGTCTATCACATTTTGAGGGACCCTACAGTTTATTTAAGTTTAAGTAAAAAAAAGAAAATGTACAAATACAAAATACAATTTTAAAAACCAAAAATAGTAGTTTTTTCTGTTGTTGGGTTACTGTTCTACTGCTACGATTTTACTGTTTTATTTTTAACCATTGCTGTATTCTTTGCAGGAATGCCATTCCGCTGCAGCACTGACCTGTTTATTCTGACAGCAACAGGAACTTGCTCTCAGAATATACATACGTCAGTGTGTGCAGCGATGTTGGATGAGATTTTTTATCCGTAGGTAAAGAAAAGAACATATATGCCGAAGCATAGGGGCCTGGGGTGGCAAGTAGTTGGATGGCCCCTATGCTTCAGCATACATATTTTATAATATTTTTAGGCACATATTTCAATAAAAAAGTTGTTTTTATTGAGTTACTGATTTATTGTTAACTATTGTTGTTTTCTTTGCAGGAATGCCATTCAGCTGCAGCACCAACTTGTTTATTCTGACAGCAACAGTGTCTTGCTCTCAGAATATACATAAGTAGGTGTGTGCAGTGCTGTTGGATGAGAATTTTCATCTGCAGTTAAAAAAAAAGAGCATATATGCTGAAGCATGGGGTCTGGGATGGCCAGTGGGTGGATGGCCCCTATGCTTCGGTATATATTTTAAGAAAAAAATTTGGGCAGAGATTTCTTCATCCACATCGACAGTTGTGAATAGAGGAATCTGTTAGCCTCTTTTTTTTTTTGTTCAGCCCAGGGACAAAAAAAGAACATTTCATGCTTGCCCACTATTAGAAGTGGGTGGATGCAGGGAGGTATATTCTGATGGTGGGCATACCACACACTTTTTCTGGCAGAGATTTCTGGTCTTTTTTTCATTCAGGTCACAGACTGCATAAAAAATAGAACATAGAATATATACCCAACAAGGACTAGCGATGTACAGGTAAATCATTGGAATTTGAGTGGTTGAGTGGAATTTGAGTGGTTATACCAGGATGATGTCTGCAGCTGGTATAGTCTTTTAGCTGGCGATCAGCTTTCATGTAAAATCAATTTTAGTGGCTAATTAGCTGCAGGATTGCTTTTACAAGCAGTGGGAGAATATGCTCCCCCTCCCTTGCTGCCTTCCACGGCCTTTTCGGGCAGTCCCGTGCCATTGGGGGAATCTGAGAATACAGCCAGTGTTTCTGCCAGCTGACCATAGAGCTGATAGAGATACCATAGAGACCGGAATGGCGCCAATCATCTCTATAGTCTAAGAAATCGGAAGCATTTCATCACTTCAGTTTCGCAGGATATAAACAGCTCCATTTGTAAATTGGGAAAGCATCTGATCACACCGAACTTGATGATATTAGATAACGTAAGGGAAGAGGAGATATCTAGGCCCTGATTTACTAATGTGCATTGAAATCCATCTACTTTTAGACAGCAAAGACATTTACTAAAGAAAGACTCTAAAAAGTAGACTCGAAAGCGAATTTACTAACTAGGCACAATACAGGAATCAGTGTAAAAAAACAGACGTCCTAGAAGCACATCTAACAGAACGAAAAATCACTGTAGAAACATTTTCACATTGAAATTTGCTTTCCCAAATATATGGACTTCACTTTAAATAATATATTACATTTCAATTTTTTTTTTTTCAGTGGGTAAAAAATAGTTTTTTAAGGGGATTCATGACAGTCAGGAACTAGACGCTTTTCCAACGTCTATGCAGGAATAGAAATGAGCATGTGCAGGACACAATTTAGCCCCCACTTTCTTTTTAGACACTGTTCAATAGTAAATCTCTGTGTGAAGTCCTCTGCAAGACAGAAACCAAGCCCGTCTACTGTGTTTGACAAAAAGTACTATTTGTAACTAAGCATATCTTTATGTATTCTAATTTGATTTCCTTAGTTCTATTGATTCTGTTTTTGTTTCTTATCCTTTATAATGATTTCTGTAATGGTTTTAAATATTTTGAAGATCTAGATATTATATATTTTGACAGCTGAATCTAAAAATAAAGGTGGGCAATAAAAAAAAAACCAGTGGGGTCCCCCCTTCCATCCATACCAAGCCCTTCGGGTCTGGTTTGGATTTAGAGGGGAACTTCCATGCCAACATTTAAAAAAAAAAAATGGCATGGGGTCCCCCCCAAAATCCATACCAGACCCTTATCCGAGGATGCAGCACGGCAGGTCAGGAAAGGGGAAGGACGAGCAAGTGCCCCCCCCCTCCTGAAGCATACAAGGTCACGTGCCCTCAACATGTGGGGGGGTGCTTTGGGGCATGGGGACAAGGGCCTCTTCCCCACAACTCTGGCCGGCGGTTGTGG